TCCAACCACTCATCCGCCTTAAGTGGCTCCTTTGGGTCCCCAACAAACTCGTCCGGATTAGACTGGAAGAACTCCCTCTTCAAGAAAGAAGGCCCTGCATCAACAACTGGGGCCTGAACTTGGGCCTGTACTGGATTCTCAGCTCTGAGAATGCCCATGGACTCCCTCAAAGCATCGGCTATCCCACAGGCTGAAGCGCCCATAGCCTGCTGACCTGTTGGCTCAGCCACATTGGCCCGGCCAACCCCCTCCTGCTGTGCCGGAATATCATCCGGTAAAGGCATCTCCTACCTACCACGCCTATCACGTCTACCTCCATGTCCTCGTCCTGACATCCTAATAAAGGTAACGAAGAACGTTAGAACATCCATAAATGTGCCGAAACTAAAACACTCGCGTCCTAATACATGGACAACTGTAATTTACTCCACGTAAGCACATAAACACATAAGCACTTACGAATTTCATTTCCGGATAATGATAGTCCCGTCGCGTTACTAGAGTTCCAGTTAGAAACAGCATTGATCAAGTGCTTTTCCAGCAAGACTCATAGAAACCCAAGGAACCAATCAACATCCTAGAAACTAAATCCCATACCCAAGTACTCACATAAACATGTTATCACATAAGCACATAACATTACATCTAAGTCTCTAACAAGCGAGACAAACCCATTCTGATACTAATCACTTCCCACGTACCCAAAGTATTCAAACCCGGTATGCTCTGATACCAAGTTGTAACGCCCTCAAAATAAACCCACAAACCACACAATATTAACATGCTTAGACATAAGAGAATAAAGCATAATTATATTTCATCAGAGTATTCTTTACAAATGTATTACATGTTAACAACAAAAGCAAATGCCCTACGGGTTTACAGCTTTCCAAGTCAACACTTGGTTACAAAAAAAAAGAGTACTAACTCTATACACAATAAGCCCTTGGCTTGATATACACGTAATACAGACAAAACAACCAAAAAGAGTCTTTAACTCCCTTAACCATCCAAGCTATGATCTCGGAGGCGGCATGATACCTGAACCTGAAAATGATGTCCCATATAGGGTGAGCCAACACCTAGTAGAAATATGCTAAACATAATATGAACAATAACTAAAATGTTAGCAATTGATAAATGTTTAGCTCACAGAAATCATTTTCATAACCATTTCAACTACATAACAAGATGTCCATGTTTCATTCCATTTTTCTTTTCTTATCCAATTCTCATTTCATAACTACGGCTCAGAACCTGGCTAAACAATTTAAATGTGATAACACTCATATCAACAATACTTCCATTTCAAATGAGGTCACACTCATATTAAACACTTTATACTTCGAAATAGATAAGCATATTAGCTATATCAACACTTCAATAGATAAGCATATGAGCTGTATCAACATTTCAATAGATAAGCATATGAGCTGTATCAACACTTCAATAGATTAGCATATTAGCTGTATCAACGGAGTCCATCCCCTATCTCCTCCCAAACAATCTCCGGTTTAGAGGTCCATCCCCTATCTTCCCCTAAACCGTGGAGTACATCCCCTATCTCCTCCCACAAACACAATGTATATAAACACAGATCATATACACAATCAATCAATACAAAATGTTAATGTATTATTCCAACCGTCATATTCGATGACACATTCAATTAGTTTTGGTTTGCCTAATCATCATGCATTGTCTACAACAATCAAGACTACCCTCCACCGGTAGCTCAAAACAATTATTTCTAAATAGATAATAGATGCCTCAACAGATATATAATCAATATTTTCAAAAGTGAGAGATTAATAAAATCTACTCCACCGTTCCATCTCATAATGAGCCAATTTCATTATGTTTAACCCAATTTCATAACCCATATTTTTTTTTCAAATTAATTATACCAATTAATTTATGCACAAATTGGGGCTTTCTCCTCCATTTCTCAATATTAACTCAAAGACTCAAATATCAACATCCAATAGCAATACCATCATTTTGAGACCCAAAATACATATTTAAGAGTCAAAATAATAAAACCCCCTTTGTACATTTTGAAACCCTAAGTCCCGAAATTTCCCAACTCCCACACTTTATCAAAATGACCAACCATTTAAGTCAAAGACCATAAGAATGAGTAGTTATCCCTACCTCAAATTCGAAGCTCAAATGGAGAAGATGAAGAAAACTCGAAGTGCTCCAAATCCCAAGATTCTCGGATCAAAACGTAGCCCTCAACGATCAACACACTTTTTATAAAGACAACAAGGGAGTGAAACACTCTAACTAGTTCAAACCCTAGAGAGAAGGGAGATTCTAGAGAGAGGAGCTCTCAAAATGGGTTTTAGAAAAGTAAGAGAGAGAGTGAGGATGTAAAAAGTGATTTAAAAAAGCCTAGCTGTTAACTGATATACGACTCTCCATTCCTGCTCGAGCGGAGAACAGGACGCTCGAGCGTCAAACACAAAAACTGGACCCGCTCGAGCGCCAAGACACAAAAACAAAACACATCCACCCGAGCGTGAAAACTAGTCCGCTCGAGCGTAGATTATGCCCTTCCAGAACTTTTACAAAAAAAAAGACTACCCGCTCAAGCGCCAATAATCCCGCTCGAGCGCGACCCTCTCGAGCGTAAGAAAATCCGTTTGAGCGTGAAAAACACACCTGCAGAAGTTTTGCAGAGGCACGAAATACTGGGAGTGTGTAAACCCCGCTCGAGCACAATAAGGCCCGCTCGAGTGGACCACCTGAAAACTGGGCAACAAGAAAGGAAACCAAAGCTCAACCATCCTGTAACAACCATGTCCTACATATCCTAAAACTCATATATATGGAATTAAAGGATAACAGCAAGACATACACAACCACTAACTCCACGAAACCGAGTCCGGGATACAACAATCAAAGAAAGGGAAACAGGGATCGCTATAGAGAAGACCTGAATAGTGAAAAGGGAGATACCACATATTATTTATTTATTTATTCCAAAATTATGAAAATTTAGGAATAAACATTTGGAGACGTTTGACATAATAACTACATTTGCTCATATATATATATATATATATAGTATAGATATATCAGGTAATTACTTACATTATGAGGCAATGTTTTTCTTTAAAAAAAATTAAAAAAAATTAAATTGGGTCCTTGACTAATAAACTAGTAAATCAATGGACTATATATATTCATTGTGTTTGTATGATTCATATCCGATTAATTTTAAATTTACATAATACACTTCAGTTTTGGAATAAATTTTAAGTTGAAAATTTATGATAATTTAGTTGTAGATAATTAGAGATCTCTAATAATTTTGAATTATATTTAGAGCAATACTGCATACACAAATTTTGTAGACTAAAATGCTCAAAAATTTAAATATACGGTCGAAATTCATTCAAAATGTGAACTCTACTACCTAAGAGTTGAATCTTAACCACATTATTTTTTTAGGTATATTATTGTGCATGAATTTTGTGCATAGAGAGGCCCTTTGTTACACTCAAATAACATTTTTCATATAGCACTACAACAAAAACATACTTTAGTGGCACTACACTAGTGGCATATTTTTAGAAAATGCCACAAAAAATGATATTTAGTGGCACGTTTTTTAAAAATGCGACAAAACGACAAACATAAAAGGCTCTAGTGACATTTCAATGAACAAGTGTCACAAAACTACAACAAAAACATACTTTAGTGGCACTACACTAGTGGCATATTTTTAGAAAATGCCACAAAAATGATGGTGCAGTGGCACTTGCAAGTATCTACTGTGGCACCGATAGAAGTGACACTTGTTCAAAATGCCACAAGACCAAAAAATGTCATTAGAAGAATAGTTTTGTGGCACTTTTAAATGTTACTAAACTAAGAAAATGTTGTAGTATAGATTACACTTTTTAATGTAAAATTTATTATTTTCTTTTATTATTTAGTTAAAATTTAACATATTGCCCTCTTTCATGCATAGAGTTTTACTTTTATTTTTAAGTGTTAAGTTAAGTTGATGGATAAAGAAATTTTATTTTTTACTAGCGCCTTTTACAATGAATGTTCATTTATGTCTTTATTATTGAATGCCTTTGACTATCTGAAAAAAATTGAGATAATAAATTATTTAATATTCTAGCAACTACTCACTGGTAATGCTCCCAACAATGAACCATTTGAATAGTTCTATTTTTGTTTGGAAGTTTTTTTTATCAAATTTTTGTATAAGGACCTTTGGACAATGAATTTTTTTTAGGCCTTTGGATAAAGATGGAAGAGACCTAGTGGATTGAAGTAATGCCTTCCTCAAATAAAAAAGAAAATGCTAACAATGGATTTTTTTTTTCTTTTGTTTTTATGCCTCTTAATAAATTTTATATTAGGTTTTGGTAAGGGATTTTTTTTTTTTTTTTGTGGTTTCAAGCTGTCGAATTCCAAAAGTGAGACCTTAGGCGATCTCCTTAATGGCCTAATAATGATTGAGTTGTCATTAAGTCAATTGTGCTACACTACATATATATTTATATTGAATATTTTATTTTTCTTAAAAGCCAAAAATAAAAATTATATACAATCAATCAAAAAGTGATAGAAGTCATGACTTGGAGTGATGATAGAAAGTGTTATTCATCAAAAAATGAAAGAGGGGAAGAATGCCTACTTGCTATCTCTCTCATAGAAATTTTTGGTCCTTCTGCATTGCGTAAGATCTTTATTCAATCAATAGGTAATCTGAAAATGTTTTGAGTTTTCAATATAAATTTTAGTACATAAGGAATAAATAAAATTAATTGGCCTTTCAATCTGCATATTTTTTTTGAGGCCCATTCAACATACACTTAATAGATTTGTCAGCCTATGAAATCATGCATAGGTTTTTTAAATATCTTATTTTCCATCTACATAGACAATATTATCAGGTTTCTTACATGTTTTTTTTGTTGTCATTATGAATGTTTCCTATCATAATCTTTCCTATTTTTTTTTTTTTTTGGTAGGCAAGACAGACTGGTACTCTTGAAGATGAAATCCAAGTTGAATCCTAATTAGATTGTGAACTAGATTATGAATTTATGAGGAATAACTCTCATGAGTAAGTGGACAATTCATGATTTACCTCAAGCTATACCAAAAAACAATACAGTTCTTATCTGAAAAGAATTTTCTATTACAGAAAAATAGACATGTTTTGTGAAACTTTTTTTGAGTAGTTATTTTAGAAATTTTTTTCTAAAACCTATCCCATTTTTTAGGTAACAACAAAAATTTATTTTCAAAATTTCAAAAGTTGTTTTTTGTGCAAAAATGAAAACAATATGAATACGATGGTGTTTTTGAAATTTTCATTTTTTTGTTTCTGAAAGTAAAAAATAAAAAGGCAAACACTATATGCAGCAAAATACAGATATCTCTATCCTTTATAAATATATACTGCTAGATTATTATTGAGTTTTCATTTTCTTTTTGCAGTTGTCAACCATAAAGAATGCTGAGCTGCTCCTATATGTGATGTCTACCTTAGGATTTTATTGTGTAAGGGCATATGCTTCCTATGATTTGTGTTTCTAAATAATTGTCTTGTTTCGCAATATCAAAACTACTACTCTAAATAAAGGTATGATTACCTAATGTGTGCTAAAGATTTGAAGAGTGAATAAATTGAGGGAAAAAGTACCCAGTGTGTGTAGTTTTATTTTCTTTGCATTGTAATAAAGCATGTATCCAAAATCTGTTGTCTCAATTAATAGTATTGTATGTTTGTTTTCATGCTTGTTTGTATCTGTGGTAAAAAAATATATTGCAATTTACTGTTTATTGAAATGTGATTGACTAGTAATAATTCCGAGTACAACAATGAATTGTTGCTTGAATTTGTTAAGAGGTGCTTGTAATTCATTCAAATTGTTGCTTGAATGCTTGTAATTCAAGCAAAGCACGTTATGTTAAAGAATCCAATGAGTCCATACTTAGATTTATGTTAGGAAATCCAAAGTGTCCATACTTAGAATCAATACATGTTATTTCAAACATGCACCCACTTAAAGGCTTAAACATATATGGAGTGAATCCATCTGACGTTTTTTAAGACTTTTTCTTTTGCTTTTTTTCCAATATGGGATCATTTTACTTCAAGAAGTTCCAACAATCTCTCCCTCAAATGTGAACTTATACATCGGGCAAAGTTTTCGCTCGAGTCTGATTTACTCACTATGTCTTATGCCGTGTAATGACGTTTGTAACAAGTTACTCTAGAAAGATGAACTATCTTTTGCAACATTTCAAAAACATAGGATAATTATAAAAACATGTGGGAAAGAATGTTTCTTTAGCAATGAATCCTTAGCAATTGATTCTTATATTTATCTCAAGTGAATATCTAATGATATTAAGGAAATAGAAAATGACACACATTAAGAAGACATAGGATCTCCATTTAGAAATAGAAATCCATTGCATGCCCCTTTTGGAAAGAAGTGCTTTAGTCACTAGGGTAATGTCTATAGCGATCCCAGTTTTCCTCTCTTTATTTACAGTGTTCCGGACTTAGGTTCCGTGGGGTTGATAGTTATATATCTTGTTGACATCCTTTAATTCTTTATGTTTGAGTTTTAGGATGTGTTGGGCGTGTTTCGAACTGGTAGGATGAGTTTTGGTCTCTAGTGTTATTGCCCAGGTTTTTGGTGTTACGCTCGAGCGGATGATTCTGCACTCGAGCGGAGTTCGTTTCTTAGTGGTACGCTCGAGCGGTATTCTTGCGCTCGAGCAGAGTTTTCACACTTCCAGTATCTGTGCCTCTACAAAACTTCTTCAGATGTGTTTTTCACGCCTGAGCGGGTTTCCTTACGCTCGAGCGGGTCTATTGGCGCTCGAGCGGGGTGTTCATTGTCTGCAAAAGTTCTGAGAGGGGGTAATCTACGCTCGAGCGAACTGGTTTTCGCGCTCGAGCGGATGTATTTTGTTCTTGTGTCTTGGTGCTCGAGCGGGCCTTCTTGCGCTCGAGCGGGTCCAGTTTTTGTGCTTGACGCTCGAGCGTTCTATTCTCCGCTCGAGCGGATCATGCGTATACCAGTTGGCAGCTGTACATTTTTGAATCACATTTCAGCATCCTTTCTTTCTCTTACTTTTCCGAAAAAAGCCATTTGAGAGCTTCTCTCACTAAAACTTAACTTCTCTCTAAGTATTGATCTAGTAGGAGTGATTTCCTCACCTTTGGCCTTTACAAAAGTGGTGTTGATCGTCGAGGGCTACATTTTGATCCGAGCATATTGAGTTTTGGAGCACTTTGAGTTTCGTCATCTTCTCCCTTTGAGATCTGAATTTGAGGTAGGGATACCCTACTCCTCCTTATGAGTTTTGTCTTTGAATTTTAGCATTTTGATATGTTGGGGGTTGTTGGGTATTTTTCAGAAAGTTTGGGTCTTTGTGTAATTTTACAAAAGATGGGGGTTTGTTATATGTAAACCTATATGCATGTTTGATATAGAGAAATGAGAATAATATTGAACTATTGAAGAAAATGGAACCTTAGTGTTGTTATGTAGATATGGGTAAAGCCCTAATTACATTGATAAATTAATTTGTACAAGAAATTTAGGGAATTGAGAAATTGAATAGGAAATATTCAAATTAGAAAGATATGGGGTTAAAGGGTGTAGTTGGACTCACTTATCGCTTACCTAGTTAAACTGTTGATAATATATCAAATTGGTGCATTTATTTCCTAATTAGAAATAACTGTATTGGACTATCGGTGGAGGATAGTCTTGATTGTTGTAGGCAATGTATGATGATTAGGCAAACTAAAGCTAATCTATTAAGTATGCTAATGAACATGGCAATTGGTTTAATACATCAAAATGTTGTATTGATAGGTTGAATTTGTATATGATAATTGTTTATATACATTGTATTGTGTGGGAGGAGAAAGGGGCTGTACTCCATGGTTTATTGGAAGAAAGGGGCTGAACCTCTAAACCAAATCTTGTGACAGTGATACAGCACTACAATGTGTATCACGCTGCGAATTAGAAGTGTTTTTGTTTCATTAATACAGCACTACAATGTGTATTATTTGAGACTTATGGAAGTGTTTGATTTGATTTGATATAGCACTAAAATGTATATCATTATCATTCGTGAAATATGGAATTGTTTGTTTTGATTTGATATAGCACTAAAATGTATATCATTATCATTCGTGAAATATGGAATTGTTTGTTTGATTTGATATAGCACTAAAATGTATATCGTTGAGAAATATGGAAATGTTTTGTTTGACTTAGATATGACACCAACATGCATATCCATCACAAATTTTGAAAGTGTTCTAGTGGGGAATTATGATTCATCAAATGATTTGGCCAGGGCACTAAGCCTTGTTTTCAAACTCTAAGTTGAATAAGAAATGGAAAGTGAATTGTAACACGGACACGAATGTCATGGAACAGTAATGTAAGGTAAACGAGTGTACAAGTGTTGACCATCTATCAACTGCTAATCTTTTAGTCATTGCTTATAGTTGGTTTAGTGTATTTCTACTGGGCTATGGCTCACCCTATATGGGACACCATTTTCAGGTATAGGAAGCATGCCACCTCCAAGGACATAACTTGAGAGGCTAGAGGCAGGCAGACGTTTGTGGTTGTGTTATCTTTGTTGTATTACGTGTAATTTCAAGCCAAGGGCTCAATGTGTATTTGAGTTAGTACTCTCCTATTTGTAACCAAGTGTTAACTTGGAAAACTGTAAGCCCGTAGGGCATTTGCTTTTGTTGTTAACATGTAATGCTTTTGTAAAGAATTACTCTGATGAATAGAATGATGTTTATCTCTTATATCAATGCATGTCTAAATTGATGGGATTAATGTTATTTTTTTGAGGGCGTTACCATGTCCAAGCAACTCCTATATAGTTTGTAGCCTATGTGTCCAAGTCCAACAAATATTGACAAACAACATTTATTCATACATATCAGCATCACCAATTAAGGAAAATTTAATTGGAAGGAAGTTCTTAGTTACTAAAGAAATTTAATTGTCACGCCCCGAATTTTAATTACTCGAAAACATTACTAAAGCCTGTAAATTTAAGTCCATATTTATTTTTTTATTTTTTTTTTACATATACAAATATCTATTACACTTGAGTAATAGGAATACAATAATACATGTTCTTTCTCTCTCAATGAAAATTACAATGTCAACAATACATGCCAAACTCCTACTGTGAAGCTATAAATGAATAAAATACAATTACAGGATCCATCACATCTACAGTGAAATTACATATAAAAGATACATGGACTTCTCAACTCTTCAATCAAAGAATCCAAACTTTCTTCGTGTAAAAAAGTCGAACAACAACGGGGTGAGCACTAATGCCCAGTAGGAATCTCATAGTTCTCAATCAATAACTAACACACAGATAGAAATGATCATGCATGCAGGGTGATACCATATAGTAGAGTGACATTTTATAACGTCAAAATATCATAAGTAGAGTACCTTTTCTCAAAAACTATTTGAACACTTTTAAAAAAAACCTTCAGCCATTAAAATTCATTCATTAACTTTAGAAAACCATAGATCCTTGTGAAACCAACATGTTTAAGAACAACATCATTTAAAAATTATTAACCAATTCCCAAAATATTCCCCATTTCATTTCCATTTTTTTTTCCTTATACTATTTCCAATCACTATAACTCCATAATGTCAAGATCCAATTTCCTTTATGTTCAAAAAGACAATCCTCATACACTCAACTCCAACTTACTCAACAATTACCTCACATTAACGTTTGCATTACCAAATAGAATACAAGCATGACACAAGAATAAAAATCCCTTTTTAATTCAATTCCTCTATTATTTACAAAACAAAACTCATAATCTTCCATTTTAATCACAAGCAATCCATTGAATGTATCAACACCAATCCCTAATCCAATTACCATTTCATTTTTCATTCTTTTCATTAATCTCATATCAAATACCGGATCCAATCGCAAGTCATCTCCATGACTCACACGCTTTACCGGTCACAAGCTAGAAGGAATGTGGAACCTCATGCTTTACAAGTCACAAGCCAGAAGGAACGCGGAACCTCACGCTTTACCGGTCACCATCCGGAAAGAACACGAAACCTCATGCTTTACCGGTCACCATCCGGAAGGAACGTGGAACCTCAATGTACCACACGCTTTACGGGGCGCCACTCCGAATGGAAGGCGGAACCTATCTCAAGTGCCACGCTTTGCCGGCTCAATACGGCGGGAAACGAACCCCAAGATATCATCACAATCCATCATTACAATTAGTGGACAATGCCAACACATCTTCCATTATTTCCGTAACACATTAATTTAATATACATCCACCATTTATTAAAATTACATTCACATAACAAGTACAAATATGTTCCACGACCTTCTTCATTATCCATTAAATCATTCATTGTTTTGTCACACGAAAATATAACAACACATCCATAGAGGCAAAGATTCATCTTTAAAGTGTTCACAATTCTTGGGTTCAAACTATTTCTTTACTTTTCCATATGGTTCAAACTATTTCTTTACTTTTCCATATTATCATCAAGTCTTCAAATTCAATTTTTTTTAAACACATTGATTAT